CAGGCAAACACTGCCCGTCATGTGCTATCAACCAGAGAGTATTCTATTGCTTGGTATCAATCAGCTGAATGAATCTCATGAATCTCATTACCAGCCTACAATGACAGGCAAACACTGCCCGTCATGTGCTATCAACCAGAGAGTATTCTATTGCTTGGTATCAATCAGTTGATTTATGCAAAGGAAGGTAGAATCTACGAGTTAAATCATTTTTTCCCCAGCCATCAACGCATGCCTATCGAACCCATGCTTAGGAGGAGGGACATGCGCAGTGGGATCATACAATCGTCACTGGTACTGCATCTGTCCATCTGCAAAAACTGGTCTGCGCTGTGAACAAGGTTAGTGTGCTGTGCTGTGCTGTGCTGTGCTGTGCTGTGCTGTGCTGTGCTGTGCTGTGCTGTGCTGTGCTGTGCTGTGCTGTGCTGTGCTGTGCTGTGATGCATTTATTCTATTTCCATTTTATTTCAAATAGTGATTCATGATTGCTCAAGTCAACCATGTCAAAATGACGGCAGCTGTTGTGAAAATCAGAGTGGATATACCTGTGACTGTAAACCAGGATTTACTGGAAATTACTGTGAGACAGGTCTGTAGTAAACTCACCATTCTCTGACTGACGTTTCAACAATGTCGGTCCGACCTTAATTCACCTTTTCGGCACTAGCTTGGATTGCGTTACGGTCACTAAAAAGTTCGCACATTGTTCTCGGATTTCCATACAAATTCACTGACTTTAAAGAGAAAATTTAGATAGATTTCTTTAGTTAGCTCTCTTAACAGCAGTAAGAACAGCTTCAATCAAGATAGAAACATGATTATTTGCTTGTATTTAGAAAACTAACTAAACATTAACCAAGTAAATAGTTCATTTAAACTCAGTACATTTGTACGGAAATTCCATAACAATGTCCGAACTTTTTGGTGACCGTAACGCCATCTAAAACAATTTATACCCCGTGATGCCTAGCGCAGATTACGCAAGATATTTTAGCCTGAAAAGCATCAGGGGAGAGACTAGCTACTACCCCGCACCCCTCCCCTCCCAACACACACACACCGTATCTACAGCTAATCTCTTGCTCACTCTGCCACACAATGACACATAGGGGCATTATTTTCACTAACATTGTTGTATTGATTGATGTTTTCTGATAACCGTGGCCCAGTGGCAATATCTTGCAATTGAAATGAAAGATGTTAACCGAACCTAATCTATTTAGTGTATTTTTTAAGGTGATTTTTTGGGCATTGAGTCACCCGTGGATCATAATGTTATTATTATTATTATTGAATATTTTAAGATATTGATGAGTGCTTGTCTGAGCCCTGTCAAAATGGAGCAACATGTGTAGATCAAGTAAATGGCTACAGTTGTACTTGTCGTGTGGGACTGGAGGGAAGGCACTGCGAAAGAAGTAAGTACAGAAGAAAGTATATGGATGGATGGGTGGATGGACGGAGGGAGGGAGGGAGGGAAGTAATCGATAAACAGACCCAATCCACTTGGGTATAATGTTTTGCCCACTTCAGATCACGAGCCATTAGAGAATAAGATTCTTTGTTTGAGTTGTATCCATATTCATGTGTCTTCTCATGTGCAACCATTAAACAAAGAAATGATGCTCTAGGGAATGACACGTGGTCTTGAGAATAAGATTCTT